CATCTTTGTGTTTCCCAATCTCCTGTTAGTCTTAAAACAGACCCTTAGACCTTGTGGTGTGTTTGCCAGAACCCCTGGTATTGAAGTAGAGTCTCTCTGAGAATTCCCAATATTCCCTGTCAAGGTCATTGGTGGTAAGTTTTTTTTTTTTTTTTGTTATCTCTTAGAAAGACTGTAGTTAGACAAGTTAAAACCATCTGCCTGGTGGCATCTAGATGCTTGTAATCTTGCTGCCAGTCAAAGTCACTGAGGTAGCTTGGCTAAATACATTCATTTAATTTAAATGAATCTGGTGGCAGCTGACACATAACCCTTCATTCTCTATTACTAAGCCCAGCTCTGGTCCCATTTCAGCCTCCTAGTTCATGTTTACTCTGTCACCTACCTAACATGAGAGGAAGAGCATTGGAACCTTCTTTGTCACCATGGGGTCTTCCATTCATGAGTCAACATTATGCTTAATGTCCAGGGCTGAGTGCCACAAGGAAGGGTCAAAGAGCCTGACTTTGAAACACATATATTTTTTTTTCTTCTTGTGTATCTTTCTACCTGCTCACTCACTGATGTGATCCTTCTTTGGTCCCCCTTGCACATGTTTCTCCTCTTTTCTAATAAGTATACCTGATGTAAAGGTTCTCTTCCAAAAGCAAATTTCCACTATGTTTGTGACCATAACAAGGAACTTAACTTCTCAGAGTCTCATTCTTAACTATTCAAAAAGAAAGATAAGTTCCTGCATCATGTTCCTGCTTAGGATTAAAACCCATTGGATTACTAGGGCTGAGGGTGTAGTTCAGTAGTAGAAAGCTTACCTTGCCTTCATGAAGTCCTGGATTCCACCCCTAGCACCACACCCACATGTGCATACACACACACACACACACACACGCACACACACACAAAATGAAGAAAACCCTATAATCTGCTTTATTAAGTTACAATGATTGTATTTATCTCATTAAAACCATTCAAGTCCACTTCTCAAATGTAGTACAATATTACTTGAGGTGGATTTGGGGAAGAAAGCAAAACAAAAACCTCTTAAGAAGTAGTGCATATAATATAATTGGAAATGGAAAGGTCCTGCCCTGGGTTTTCAATTAGTATATGCTGGTAAACTCCCTGAGTCACAGAGTTTGCATGACATGGTTGTGTGTGGGGAGTCAATGTACTATCTGATCACATAATTTTAAAATGAATGGCTACTATAGCTAAATTCAAAAAGGTTAAGTGTGTGCATGTGTGTGTGTGTATGTGTGTCTGTGTGTCTGTGTTTCCTTTTTAGTGAGGCAACTGACTAAAACCTTCCTGGATGGTAAGTGGGAAAAGGGAGCTAACACAGACAAAACTTAACAAGAAGTGGGTTTGGAGAAGACCCTTGAAAATAGTAACTATGATGGTAGCCACGGCAATCATTCATTTGCAGAATACCAACATTGTGTACGTATGGAGGTCACAAAGGGAGTAAAGGAAAAGGATTCCTATTCTTGGACTTTTCATCATTATGTAAATAATGTAGGTTCATTCTGGTGAACTTGGTGAAACTGTGTTTAGACTCAGTCTACCTCTATACTAAGTGTTATTGAGGTGACTTTAGACTGCTAGCTCTTGGTGATCCTGGGACCATGTATTGTAAACATTGACATCTCACAAATATATAACCTTGACTCTGCTTGGACTTGAGCCTCTGAGATTATAAAACTGCAAATGATATAGCTCTGGGCCAGGAACACTTTGAGATCATGAGACTGAAGTCACAAGGCACAAGACACAGCATGGTTGAATAACTTGCTTGTCCAATATCACACTGTCATGTTAAAAGGTTGCCGCTTCAAATGAGAATCCAGAATTTCTTCTCATCAGAGAGCACCATATGAGTTAAGGGGTAAGGTCAAATAAAGCATCCCTAGTTTGTAAAATAAATCTTTTTATAGTTGTACACCAATTTAAATATTGTACTAAGATATATTCTGTCTAAAAATTACATAGAATACAGGCAGAGTGCCCAGTCAACTCTGCCTATATATGCCTGGGGAGGTGGAATTTAGAAAAAAGCAATCAATGGGAAATCCTATGTACTGAATGAGAAGCCACACTTGCTTACACCGTAGAAAACCATGTAATAACTTCCCTGTCTGGAGCAATTAGAAATCACAAGAAACTAGCACCTGTGCCCACCACACATAGAGGTGCAGCATGGACATAAAGAAATTTAATGTACACAGGGAGGAGTCCTTTGTAGATGGGCAAAGGAAGGAGGACAGTTTTCTATGTGTACTAGTTGCCAAGTTGGGAACTAGATATGTGGAAAAATAATCCTATCAAATAAAAGCATTTCCTGTTTTGATGAAGAGAAAAAGGCTGAATCTTTGGCATATCTGTGGTGTGGAATGCTGGACTTGAATCTCTTTCTCAGTCATTGTCTTTTTATACAAGAGCTGCACTGCAGGAGTTGCGAGCCACCTCTTGACATATCATGGTCATAGGTATCAGAGCTAATGCTGTTTTATGAGGAATAAACATGCCAGAGACCGTTCCCGATAACCTGAATTCACAGGTATTGGGGAAATACAAAAGAGTGCAAAGGTGGAATCTTTGAAAATCATTCTATTAAGTAGACAAGAACTTCTTACTTGGTGTTCACTTTGGCCATTTAAGAAAGCAAGGGATCTTCTCTTTCGGATTGCACACATGCAGGCAAGCTTTATCAATACATTTGTGAGGCTAAAAAGAAGACATTGTGAAGAAGAATTATGACTTATAATTAGACACGCACGTTGGTGTGTTAGCTGATGTTCTATTTTTAAGATGAGATATGGTGGTCAGGCACAGTGGCATAATCACATCTATAATCCCATCTACTCAGCAGGCAGATCAGGAAGATCATGGTTCCAGGACAGTCTGGGCAAAATGTTAGCAAGGCCCATTCTAAACAAAAAAGTTAGAGGTGGTGGCTCATACCTGTAATCCCAGCTGCACAGAAAGCTTAAGTAAGAGGATCATGATCCAGGCTGGCCCAGGGAGAAAAATGCAAGACACTACCTGAAAAATAACTAAAGAACAAAGGGTTAGAAGCATGGATCAAGTGGTAAAGCAACTGCCTGGCAAGCATGACATTCTGAGTTCAAGCCCCAGTACCACTACCAAAAACAAAACAAAACAAACAAACAAAAAAAGGTGAAGTATAATAGGGATGATGACAAAGTTCTGGGGAAAGTAGGAGATGATAGTTGTTCAAGAATGTGACTATACCTAATGCCATTGAATTTGTGCTTTAAACTGGTAAATTTTGGTGCTGGCGAGTGGCTCAAGTGGTAGAGCGCCTGCTTAGTAGGTGTGAGTCCCTCAGTTCAAATGCCAGTACTGCCAAAGAAAAAATTGCCTTCTAAATGTAAATCTTATGTTTTGTATATTTTAACTCAATTAGTAAAAAAGATGAGTTGTAAGCCTTTAGCCACAGTCTTCAGAAATAATTAATTCTTCCAGTAATCATTCATACAAATGAAGGCTATGAGGCATAATGAAAGTGGACCAAATAGTTCCTGAGCTGGGTTTTTTTTTTCTTCATTTAAAAGAAGGACATTAACAAGGTGAATATGGTTGATGTACTTTCTATACAGGAATGAATATAGAATTTTTAAACCTGCTGAAATTACCATAAGAAGAGGACTAAGTCAGAAAGGAGAAAAACGGAGGAAATGAACCAATTTGGGATACAATACATACATATATACATGAAAATGTCATAATGAAACTCTCTGTATAGCTATCTTAAACAAGCAAAAGTGTCGTTTTTTCCTTCAAAAACGGAGAAAAGGAACATAAATCAGGTCCTATCTAGGGATTGCTACTAGTGGGAGGGTGAAGGATATAAGGAAAGGATGTAGGAGGATGAATACAGAGGAAATATTAGGTTCTCATACATGAAAATGGAAAAATGGGACCTGTTGAAACTATTCTAAGAATGAGGGGAAGAGGGATAAAGGAGAATGATAGAGAGGATGAATTTAACTAAGATGGATTGTAGTACCTTTTCTAAATTTCATAATGTACCTCCAGTACAACAGATAACAAAAAAATTTTGAAGAAACTCAACAGAATAGGACAGACCACCCACAGACCCAAACTTGAGGGCAATGTTCCCAGCCTGGCACACAATGTACAAGAATCCAAGTATTATCTCATTTTCTATGGAAATTTTTATTTTGTCTTCGTAGATGAGCTCACCTTAGACACAACTTTATCTGCATACAAATATTACTTTAAGTGAAAGTTTTACTGTTTCTTTAATAAAATTAAGAGAGAAATATAAAAAGTCATCCTAAAAGGGCTGATAGGTTTTAAAGGCCTTTCTTCTGAAGAAGCAATTATAAATCAGTGAGCTTTTAAATTTTAATAAAACATGCACCTTCTTTTAAAAGAAATTAAAAAAAATAAACTTCGTAAAGAAATGTGAAAGGGAACTGCATATAATCAAGTTGAGATGTCTGCTCTTTATAAATATTACTAATGGAATAGTCAAGTGGGGGCTATTGAAAGATATTTGGAGTAGGACAATGTTGGAATTGAACCTTACCCCAATAAAGAACCAATTGGATGATTTGGAAATGTTTTTTTTATCCTCTTACTCTTTCTAGACTTCAGTATTTTATCTGTAAAATGGTAGTAGTAATAAAGGAAAGTGATTAGTCTCAATGGTAACAATTATTTCAATAAAACCCTTTCATTCAAGAAGAGATTGTCAGTTATCTTCCAGGCCACTGTGATTATGAACACTAAGAATAAAGCAGTTAGGTGTTATGCTTCATAACTTGCTAGGACTACTCATTCATAAAACTTAGCTGGGCATGAGAGATGAGGTGAAGAGCTTCTTAAGAAATATTTCTGGGTAGTTCTAAGAATATACAGCACACGATGCAGGATTCCAAGTCAGATCAATGTCAGAGAAACTGAGGAATTTTTTTTCTAGAAGACACAGAGGAAGATAAGGACTTTCATTGATGCCATTTGCTGTCTCCCTTTCTCTACAGACCTTTGCAGGAAATATGAATGCTGACAGCGTGGTGCACCACAAGCTATTGCACTCAGTGAGAGCCCGTTTCGTTCGTTTCGTGCCCCTGGAATGGAATCCAAGTGGAAAGATTGGAATGAGGGTGGAGGTGTATGGCTGCTCCTATAGTGAGTACCTCCACCACACCTGCTGTGTAATTCTGCTGCTTGTTGTGAGTGACTGTTCACAGAATAGTAGCTTATTTGCATTCAGAATGACAATTGTTAGTTTAAAGTTATTGCTAGACTTTATCTCTTTTAAAAAAAAAATTTGGGGGTGGGACTGGTGTTTGAATGTTGGGCTTCAAGCTTGGAAAGTGGTTCCTCTACCACTTGAGCAACACTTCCAGTCCTAGACTTTAAACAATTTATGTATACTTTGAAAATGTCCACCTCAATCTAAAAGTAAAGAAAACTCTTCTTCTATGTAGAGCCAAAGGAACATGGAGGCAATAATATGGTAAGGGCTTAAGAAAAATACAAACAAGAGATTTTGCAGTTTGAGAAACCATTTGTCATTTGCAATCGAAGAAACAGTCAAGCTCAGTCTCTCTGCAGAAGTGGGGTGAGTAATTGTAAAGCTCCCTACCATTAGGGTAAATGTTCTTCACTTGCTCCAGAGGAGGAAAATAATTTCCACCCATATTTAAATCAGGGAATGCTTCTTTTCTGCAATTCTATCCATCTCTTGGTCTGTGAGTTGCTTACACTCACTTTGAAAGTGGAACTCCATCTTGCACAAGAGGAAGGCTGTAAACTTGGACAGAACTGGAGCTCTCTTTAGGTTAGAACTAGGCAGGGAACATTTCTATCTCTACAATTCTCCCCTGCAAACTTTATGCTAAAACCTAAAATTGCCTCATTGTAACTTGCATTTCTTCTTTAAGCAGTGACACTCTTCTGCTTCTATTCTAACAATCAACAGCCCCTAATGAACAAACGCATTTGATCAACAGCACTTTTATTAAACTCTTTTCAGTAACTCCTGATGTGTGACACACCTATACTGTTTTCCATAGAGAGGTCAACCCAATGTCTGCCTCAGAATCACTTTATGTGCTCTGGAAAAATACATTTCCCTAACTCCATCCCATATATACCAAATTGAGATTTCTGAGAATGAGGACTCAAAAAGCAAATGTTAATAGCTTTCTGGGTAAACAACAGGCTAGTGTATAACTGCTAAAAGAAATGAAGTTCTGCATAAAAGAGAATTCCAGTGAAATGACTGTATTTATCTCAAACAAGCACTTTCAGACTGTGATTTGGAATATGAACATCAACAAACCATTAGGCCAAGGAATACCTTCCCTCCTCTGTTAGCCTCTGGGCATCAGAATTCCCTTGTACCTTATGTCTCAGCAGTGACACATTTGATCAACAGCACTTTTATTAAACTCTTTTCAGTAACTCCTGGTGTGTGATACACCTATACTATTTTCCATAGAGAGGTCACAATGTCTGCCTCAGAATCACTTTATGTGCTCTGGAAAAATACATTTCCCTAACTCCATCCCATATATACCAAATTGAGATTTCTGGGAATGAGGATTCAAAAAGCAAATGTTAATAGCTTTATATTACTGGGAGGTTTTTGTGTTGTTGTTTGCCTGTTTATTTAAAATACAATATGAGGTTTTCATGCTGAAAAAAAAACCCAGAAAACTTATTTATTTACAATGTTTTGCCAGACATTTATTTTGCCCTAGTAATATTGCTCTTTAATGCATCATTGTGCTTCAGCTTTCTCTAAGGTTGGTCATTTATCCTCATTCTTCACACCTCCTCTTCACACATTCTGGATGCTCACACTGATAGTTCATGGATTCAGTTATATCACAAGTGGTTGGGTTGAAAGACATCAGTTATCACCATACTTAGTTTTTTCTGGTGATCACTTTGAGATTCTACAACAACCAAGGACCTTCTGCTCAGAAAAATGTCCCCACAATCTCATGTCAAATTTTCCACAGTATTCAGAGGCACATGGATCTGCTAAAACCCAATTACGGACCAAGTTGAGATACTCCTGGCTTTGAGGGTGCCCAGTCCTGCCCCACTCCATGCTGGCTGTATCTCTAGAGCATCCTCTTAAGAGGCTAGGTTCCCTTCAGGTAGTCATGGCCAGTGATGAGAAGGTAAGCACCATGAGAGGTGTTGGGTACAGAGTATACTTCCTTGTGATGCACTGGCAGCTGGCACCCTGAGTTTCTCACTTGCCCAAATGTCCCCAAGGATCGAAAACCACTGCCTCCCCATAACTTCTGGGTCTCATTCTCCCTTTCAGCATCATCTGACCCCTTTCCCTGAATTATTCCTATAAACATAAAACCTTGCAACGTATTCTACCAAACAACAACAATATCAAAAACTTGATGGCCCTGTTTTTCACCTACCTCTCTTCTTCACACAATGATTTCTCTAGCAAATTTCTCTTTAGTTGCTGTCTCTAGCTGGTCACCTCCCTTGTGCTGCAACTCTTGCCAGTCTTGGACATCTGAGGGCCAGTTGTGAAAGTGTTGACTTGGCCAGGATGTCACTGTGATGTGGCTGATATTGGCAATTAGTTGACTTCAAGTAAGGAGATTATCCTGGAGTCTGAGTGGACCTGAATCAATCAGCTGAAAGGTTTCAAGAGCTAAAATGAGATTTCCCTGAGGCTGACGAATTTCTACCTGTGTGCAGCAGATTGCTCCTACCTCAGTTTCTAGTCTGTCCTTTCCTGGTGGCCATTCCTGCAGGTTTCACATTTGCTTAGCTAGCCCAGGAAGTACATAAACATTTCCTTGCAATGAATCTCATCCTTCTGTCTCTGCTCCTGTGTAGAATATATGACCTCTACAGAAACCAAATGCCTCTCACTACACTTGTTTAAAATGACTATTTCCACTTCCTAAAAATCTACCTTTTCCATGTATCTCACTTACTACCCCTACTCCTTCTCAGACTTTAGTCTCAGGCCTTCTAGTATTTTCTATCCACATCCTTTGGTTTGCTGACTTAGAGTTCCATGAATTTAAACACACCTATATGTTAGTCTCCTCCACATCTATTCACCTCTGGATTTGCATATGCAATCGCCTGCTAGATATCTCCACTTGGAAGTGTTACAAATGTCTCAACATTTAATATAGAAAAAATAAAACTCCTGATTACATGTAACCTCAGGACTTGTTCCTCCCCACCCTTCTGTCTCAGTCACTGGCACCCTGCCCCTGCCTGAGCACAGTTCTGAGAAGCAAGACTCTAACCTCTAGTCTTGGTACCTTACTTACATCTCAGAGCAGATCTACCAGCTTCATTTTCCAAAATGCACCCAGAATCCGTATACTCCTTCCACATTGTAAATCAGAGCCTCTGTCTATGCACAGCTATCAGTAGCTCCTACCTGGAGTTTCTACTACCACGTCTCTATTGCCCAAATCTATGTTTCAGATGAACACAGCACAATGATCTCCACAGATAAGAAATCATATCCTCTCCCTGCCTGATTTGCTCAAAATTGAGATCCCTTATGGAAAACTTCCCATTGAAAGTACTTTGCCTAGTTCTTTAACTTCCTTTACTTCTCTCTGGCCGCACAGGCCATTTTGCTGTTTGTTACATGTGCCATGACTTTATGACCTCAGGATCTTTTCTCTATCTTATCTATTCTCTGGATACTGAACACTCTTTCCCAGAATTATATGTTTCATTCCTTCTGCCAATGTGATTCTCAATTCTAATGTCACCTTTTCAATGAAGTCTTCCCTGGCTTCTCTTCTAAAGTCAATTGCCTTATTTTCTATGTACCCAATATCCATCTGTGGTTACATGGTATGACTTTATTTACATTACAGTACCTACCACAAACCAGAATCTCATTTGTTTATTTTTGCTTAGTTGTTTGTCACATGCTTCCTCAAGTCTCTGCACTAGAATGTACATCAGACAAAGCACTTTCTGTCTTAAGTGTTAGCTCCTAATAGGCACAAATAACTATTCAATGAACATTTGTTGAATAACTAATGCATATATCATTCCAGCCTTGTTCTCTCAGTTTAGAAAACTGAGTCTTATGAACCCATCTTAGTTTCCATGGAAACTTCTGTTTCACAAATCTTTTCCTCAAAATCCAATTTGAATATTTGCTAAAAATTGGTAGGAATTTATAGCCCTATTATTTCTTAAGACACAAACTTATCTTTTCAGAAACTTCAGCATATTCATTTATTCACTCACTCACTCACTCATTTATTCACTCACTTGGCAAAATTTATTTAGACAATATCAATCGTTATGCAAGGCCCTAGAGATAAGAGGAAGAGTAAGACTTTTTCTGGACTCTTACAACAACTACATTGTATTTCAATACATTGTTTTTTTTTTTCTTCTTTGATGTCACTATGTCTTTACTGGTAAAATAACTCTTAAATTGTTTTGCCCATGTTTTAAATTTTTATTATTAGCATACATGAATTGTACAAATAGGTTTTCTTGTGATTTTCTCCATATATATGTATGTGTTTTATACTCTGTCATAACCCTATTTCCTCTCCAAATTTTAATAATATTTACTCATGTTTTAATTTTTACAAATTTTCTAATTAATGTATAGAAAGAAGTTTATTCCTATATATGATTTGCAAACATTTTCTTCCAATATGTGTTTTGTCCTTTCACTCTCTCTCTCTCTCCCTCTCCATTCATTAGTCTTGTAATTGCCTGTCTGGTGTCTGCCCCCCCACCCCCACCCCCCCACCCCGTCTTGACCCTGAGCTTGGCAAAGGCAGTAGCTGTGTCTGTCAGGTATTCCCAGCCTAGTATGATGTTGAACAGTCAGGATACTTGGAGTAAGTATTTGGTGAACAGTTGGCATTGTTGAGTGTAGGATGGAGTAGCAAGCTTGTGGATAAAGCCATGCAATAAGGGATGATATGTTCCTAGTGGAATCTGTACCAGAGAGAAAGGAGGCAAGAAGAGCAAATGTTACTGTTGGCATTAGACTGAGTCAGACAGCACTACCTCGTTAGCTGAGTCTCAAAATTCAAAGAGTCACTTCCCTGGCACGAGGATCCAGGCAGCAGGAGAACTGGTGCATAGGTAAACAGGAGGACAAGCACATGGTTTTGTTATGCTTGGTGCACAAG